ATGAAGTTGAATTATGTTTCTGTAAATATGGCCGCCACAAAGAGGATAGGCAATTTGAGGCGGCGTGCTTGGATTGACTCGGGATTCCTTAGAACGGGCCGATACGGGTATTTTAGTTCGAGATTCGTATAATTTCGCGTTTTAATCTTCGATTAAGGCACAATAGCACTATCCTATTCCACTTTAAACTAGATTTCACAAAATAATTGAAAGTCAAAATGAAAACGACAATTTTCCCTCCAAAAGGTCCAGAGCGAATCGATATGTATATAAACACGGTCTGACACATAGATTTAAAATCTATGGTCTGACAATATTTTAGTTACTAATCGAGTATTTTTTTGGGAAATAAAAAAAAGATCCGAAAGAATTGTTGGTACATTCTTTTTAATTTTTTTTACGAAGTCGAAGCATTTACTGTTGTGTGCTTTTTTATGACATATTGTAGAAAATTATTACCCACTGACGTGAAAGTATACTAGAGAACAAGACACAACACTAGCGTGTAGAAAATCAATGAATAGAGATTAGAAATCGTGCAAAAAGCCCAGTTTTGCTCGCAGGAAAGAGCTGTCTACACCATACGTACACCTGTTTGCTTCCACCGTGAGATATTCCCACTTTCTCATAGTATCGGTAGTGTGTTTGTTGTACAGAGAAAAAATGCAAATACCGAGTAAACGACATGAGGTTCAATCTAAACGGAAGACTTTGCGTATGCCTATTTGGATAAAAAAAAAAAGAAAAAAATCACCAGGACTTGGCTGTATAGTTTCAAACCTTTGCCTTTTCCTTTACGGAAAGAATGAAGAAAAAAAACAACAATAACACGACATTAAGAGTGGTTTACACACGACGACTTTTAGCATCGATTCAAACGCGCGTAAGTCGCGCGTGTGTGTAAAGGTAGACGATTAGCAACTGCATCGCGTTTGCATCGCATTTGCATCGCGTTTGCATCGCTGCCATTTTACAGAATTCCAGTCAAGCAATCCCCGTTCCCGCCGTGGCTTATGTAGTGATTTTCTCAAACAATGTGAGGACATTATAAAAGACTAAAGAGAAGAAGATGCATAATACAAAAGGTAAAAGAAATGTTAATTAAAATTAAAAGTAATATTTGACATAGTATTTAGAGGCATTTTTGTTATCGCTTTTCTCACAACATAGAAAAAGGCCAAAAACAAAAGAGAAAGTTTATTTTACCGCATTAAAAAATATGATAAATTACGATGCTATTACATACACTTGGCGGTTGGCTGTATGAGTTTTTCTTTTACCTGTTCCCATAGTTCATTATTTAGTAGGTAGATTCAAGTTTAGAGAGGTGGACAGTAATGGATTTTCACACTTACTTTGGCCGGGAAGAAGTCGCGGTATATGACAAACTTTCCGTGTTCGTTTTTTGAAGGTAATGCAAACATTTCCTAGCATGTTTGAGATAAACAAATATATTTTTCACCCCACTTTTTGCACGCGTTTTGCAAAAGCGTTTATTGCACGCTAGCGTGGAAAAGGGTTTCGAAATTCAAACTTGATTATGGACAATGGATAATGGCACGTTCAACTACGCGATTTCTGGTACATTACTTATTTATGCAATATAAATCCCTTGGTATATTTTATTCTTATTATTGTTGACATTAAATTGACAAATTGTGTTAATCAAATTATTTTAATTCGACGAAGAACTAAAATATTTTCAATAATCACACAAAATAAAAGCACAAGCAAGAATAAAAATTGATGAGCTGAAATTAAGAACGCATCCGAAGATAAACTTTTTCTTATAATTAAAAAAATTATGTTTCATAGTTCAACTATTTTTCTTTCATCTACCATTTTCCTCGCTATAGTGAGGTGAAAAGTTTTGTGTTTCGCTCGGCAGCAAAGTTGTTTAGCGTCTCGTGGCTTGAAACCCTCGCTACGCTCAGGAATCTTATGGTCGTATTCCAGAACTCTACTCAATGCTTAAGTCAGGACTTGAGTATGATTTAAAGCACTGAAAATTATACTCAAGTCCTTGCCATTAGGGTCGTATTTCCAGTGCTTGCAATCATACTCAAGTCTGCTCAAATCCTGACTTGAGCATTGAGTACAGTTCTGTAATACGACACTTAGCTCCCTTCGCTTGCTCAGGTTACAATACAAACACTCGTGTCAAACAACAATTTTGCATCCTTGTATGACAAATAACTATTAATGTATTTAGGAATTTTAAACAGGCTAATCACGTACTGCGACTAAACAATTTTTAGCATTTCCTGCGCCTTTGCTAAATAGTTTTAAAATATCATAAATATCCAGCGACAAAACTTTAAATTTTACCGTTCTCCGGACATCCTTTCATTAAAATGCAATAAAGAAACATTTTAAATAAATAACTGTCCGCTTAATAACATTTGTGAAAACAAATTATGCGTAATCTATAATTAATAGTTATAAATTTTAATAAAACCCGTTTTATAGGAGTAGACATCTTGATTTGCACAATTTTATATTATCATCATAAACAACTCATTATACAGTAACACTTTTGCGATTAAAAATGAAGCAACTTTTTTGGATATTAATCGTGTACGGTCACGAGGGGTAAGAGGAATACCGGGAGAAGAGGAGCTTGAAGCCTTAATTCATTATATATAGAGTTTAGTACTATAGTCTCTCTGTCTATAAAATAGACAAACAAATTAGTTTAAGTGATTTTAAACAGGAAAAAACTCATTATTTTTATAAGAAGTTTACAAGAAACGTTAGCAAAATTTGCTCGTTTTCGGTTAAGTATTTTGCGTAATGATTGTTAAAACATGAGCTGACAAAAAAAGGCAACTTTAGTGCAAGACTTTATCTGTTCTTCCGAGAGCTTAAAAAATTTGACTCAAAATAAAATATCGATACCTCCATTGAACACTACTTAATATTTTGACCTGCCCCGGTAGCATGATAGTCGCGACGCGCGCGATAAAATTGAAATAAGCGCGCGCTAAGGGCTATCTAAATTAGATCTGATTGAGACAGCCAACAGCGCGCGCTTATTCCAATTTTATCGCGCGTGTCGCGACTATCGTGTGTAGCCATGCTACGGAGGCTGTTCTGTTTTACTTTGTTTCTTTATTTTTTTTGACATACTGAGCCGAGACGTGGTCACTCACGATGCGGTTAGTTCATCAGTTGAAAGTCCATTAACTTCCTACTTTATACTAAAGGCTATTATACAATTTCTACGTAGGTATTTGGATGACAAAAATCCATGGTAGTAATCCGTTTGGCTCTTTCAGGTTGTTTCTGTATGTACATTTAAATTACTATATTAATTGTAAAGAACAACAGCTATATTTTCTTGATCATTCTTCTCGGGGGACTCTACCTTACAAAAGAGCGCAAAGTGACGATTTCAAGTGTAATTTTCTACTTACCCATGAAATAACGATATTTCAGAATTTTTTACTTTGATATTTTTTTATTCTAGTTCAGTGGACTTATTAGATATGACGTCACGGTAGGAGTATAAGGACATATTAGTCCTCGTGCTCCCAGTAGGAACACTCAGTGGGAGCACGAGGAAACGGCCCACTGAGCATCATTATCATCTATTCATTTTATGGCCCACTACTAAGCATGGGTAAAGACCCATTTTATGATACTGTGGGAGCTGTGCTTGTAGCGTAGAGAGAGGCACAATTTAATAATAAACGAGGAATACATTCATAAATACAGATTCACTGTGAGCGTTCGGTTTGAAGATTTGTCCAGAACTCTCTCGATGTTCATTTGACAACAACCTTCTATTTTTTATACAATTCTAAATATAAACCTACCTTATTTTTTAGACAGTTTTAAATTCAATATACCTCAAACCAAGTGCCTCAAACCTGCTACAATACCAAGTGACTGGATGAACAATTCGTGAGCCTGGTGGTTAGCGACACGCCTGTCCATTGCTTTAAATCGCAAAGGTCTGAGTGACACTGTCACGGCCACCTTTATACATAAGCTAACAAGTTCCATGTGCCTGCAATGTCACTAGCACTTATTCTTCAAAATTGGAACGCCGTAATGTTCACATTACTGCTTGGCGGAAGAAATAGGTAAGATTTACTTACCATTGTTTCGAAATTATAATCAAAGCAAATACTGTGGCAAAACTCACGACCTGCAGTGACGTACAATTAACCATTAATAACAATTGATACAAAATTGAATCTATGAAGATTGTGCATGCGGTTACACCGATTTAAAGCAACAATGTTGCTAACCGGAATGACGTTACAGTGTGTTGTATTCTGATTGTACTTTGTTAATTGTCCAGGCTATGTATGGTATGTGGAAGATGACAGGGCATAGATTATTGTCTTCCAAAGGTCTTAGTTGGAAGTTTGTTTTGTAATCATAAAATTTGTCTATTAACGCACACGCGCTCGCAATAAGATGCTGACAAAAAAAACTGATACAAACGTCTTTTGTACAAATAAAATAATAGTACATTGTGTATTAAAGACGGCATATAAGAAATTACGAACGAAGGCCTATTGGAATCCCAAAGCCGAAGGCTTGTGAGCTTTAATAACTACAGTTTTGTATTTTTTTACCGTCCGTGATGTATACACTATTTTACATCACATTTACGAGGAAGTAAAGCCAAAGTCAAAATTGCAAGCTTTTGTTTTCCTTCGTTGTATGTAAAATATCCATTTTCTGGAGTAATTTAAACTATTAGGTTTCCAGAACATTCTCATATTATTAAAAAGGATGGACGTAGATGGTAGGGCGAAATACGTTGCTTTAAAGCGACATGTTTATTGCTCGGTCTTGAGAATATAAGTATGAGTAAATAATACAATATAAAATAAAATGTAAACTTAAATGCTAACCAAGCAATACGCACCACATGTTGCAGTTAGACTATAAATGTCGTCTACCTATACTACAACATACTTTAAGAAAGGATCTTAATTAATTGTTACAATATTTCAAACTAAATCACATTTTACTTGTTGCAGAACAAAGATGGCGCTGTGGTGGCTTGCAGTGGCGTGCGCGCTGGGAGTTGCGCAGGCGCAGTCCAACTACGGGTCACAGGCGAACAATATAGAGTACCAGGGTGGTCTGCCCGATCAAACCGTACTCGATGGAAAGGTGGGTACATAAATTATGTCTTGTCTTGAAGACTGAAGAATGTTCAATGTTCTACCCCTATATTTGTAATAGTCAATGCTATCTCAGTTCCCTAAAGACGTCAAATCGTGACCGTTATACAGTAATATAGTATTGTAGAATACTACTATTTTGATCTAAGCACTAATTATAGACAAAATATAATTTTTTGTAATACTACGCGACGGGATGAACCGGTCGTGCGCCTGGTAGTAAGTGACACGCCTATCCATGACAGTTGCAGTGCCACTCAGAGCTTTTAATCGCAAAGATCTTGGGGGCTGCCACTGTGCCCGTCGGTACGGTATATTTAATAGGAAGGCTTTTTCTGACAATCATTACAAAAAAAGTACTTACAACTTGCCTATACAATAACAATAGGCATAGTAATGGATAGCCAACGGGATTGTGGTTACAGTATTCCACTTTTTTCCGCGAAGTAGGTTAATTTAATAGCATCGTAGCGCCGTGTGGACAACTTTTTTAAAAAAGAAAATTATACTTTCTGTTGTGAGTACTGAGGCCACTTTCTTAGAAATTGAGCCAATGATCTATCTTGCGGCGTAGGAAGAACAAATGGATATTTAATTTTTGTCAAGTCTCATATATCATTAGACAAAAAACTAACTAAAACACGTGAATAATCTCAGTGCGGAGTACTAAAAAAACTGACCTCAAAAGTAATTCATCCCGTCTTTCGTCCCGTCGTCGTAATTCAGCCACTCTTAGAGGTGGAATATTTTCTTGAAATTTAAATGGGCCCAATTCTGAGGTACCCTCTCTCCAACAAAAAAGGATATTATTAATTTCACAGATTTCCCATAGATGGCACGACGGCTAAAAAGTCGTTGAAAAACCAAATACAAAGATACGACAACAAGCTCATAGAAAAATTCGTGAGGTCCGCTGGTTCGTTGGTATAGCGTCTGGATCTGATTAATAATTCTAACAAACTAGTGGAGCAATTTCACATAAATAAATAACTGAATATCAATTCAATAAAAATTTTAAAAAGAATCATCAAAATAGGTTCACAGTCAGTTGTCGCGTAACAT